GCCCCCCCCCAGGCCCCACGGGACGTACCGTGTCCTCCCCGGGGGGCTCCGGAGGCTCCTCCAGGGGGGGTCTCTCCACCCGCAGGGGCTGCAGCCCCCTCCTCCACTCGTACACGGTGCTGTTGCCCCTCCTGCCCACGTGCCTCAGCAGGGGCACCACGGGCTCTGCCGGGCTGGGGGGACACACAGCAGTGCCAGGGGGAGGGCAGGGACCCCCCCCCAGCACCCCCTGACAGTCCCTCAGGGGAACCCCAGCTCCATCAGTGTCCCCAGCCATGGGGGGTTGGGGGGATCTCTCCCTGCACCCCCAGACCCAGTGCTGTTGCCCCTCCTGCCCACGTGCCTCAGCAGGGGCACCACGGGCTCTGCCGGGCTGGGGGGACACACAGCAGTGCCAGGGGGAGGGCAGGGACCCCCCCCCAGCACCCCCTGACAGTCCCTCAGGGGAACCCCAGCTCCATCAGTGTCCCCAGCCATGGGGGGTTGGGGGGATCTCTCCCTGCACCCCCAGACCCACCTCTCACACACAAACTCCACGCAGGCCTGATAGAGCTCGATGGCCTCAGAAAGGCCACTGTCTCCTTCCCCAACCCCAGCCAGCTGGGAGGGAAGGTCCTTCACCAAGGCCAGCAGCTCCTGGCGCACGTTGTCACCCTGGGGGGCAGAGCAGGGACCCCTCAGGGCAGGGAGGGTGGCAGCACAAGCTGCTTCACCCTCTGCCTGCAGAGCTAGAGGTGACCAGCACGGGGACAGAGGGGCTATGGGGTCACCCTGCACCCCCCCTGCTTCTCACATAGGTAAGGTGACACTGTGGGGACACCATCTAAAATGGTTTGGGTGGGAAGGGACCTTAAAGATCATCCAGATCCAACCCCCTGCATGGGCAGGGACACCTCCCACCAGCCCAGGCTGCTCCAAGCCCCATCCAACCTGCCCTTCAACACTGCCAGGGATGGGGCAGCCACAGCTTCCCTGGGCAACCTGGGCCAGGCTCTCACCACCCTCACAGGGAAGAATCTCCCCTCTCCCAGTTCCCCCTCATCCCATCCCTCCCTGCCCTTGTCCCAAGCCCCTCCCCAGCTTTCCTGGAGCCCCTTCAGGCACTGGAAGGTGCTCTCAGGTCTCCCTGGAGCCTTCTCTTCCCCAGGCTGAACACCCCAACTCCCATCCTGTCCCCACTGGGCTATAAATCAGGACCCAACATCATCCTTCTCTTTTTCACTCCAGTCTCGGATCCGGGACAAACCCGGGGACACTCAGGGCTGGAGGAGGAGGAGGGGCCAGG